CCAGCGGGCGTCGGGTTCAGCCAGCCCGTGCTCAAGGACTCCGAGTACAACGACGACTTTACGACGGACCGTGCGTACGAGTTTCTCGAGCAATTTCTCGAGCAATTCCCGACGTACAAGCACCGCGAGTTTTACATCACGGGCGAAAGCTACGCCGGCGTGTATATCCCGTATCTGACGGCCAAGCTGGTGCACAAACCGATCGCGAGCCTCAACTTGACGGGGTTTGCTATCGGGAACCCGTTCACGGATTCCAAAGTTGACGGTATGTGTCATGTCGACGGATATCGCCAGCTCATGCGTGGGTCGCAGGCGGCGCCAAGATGGACTACTTGTACTCGCATGGTCTCATATCCATCGAAAGCTACCGCGCTGTGCATGCCGCATGTCCCACAGACATTTTGTGGCAGTGCACGCGCAACGGCCCCAACTGCTCGGCGTCGTGCAACCAAGTTGTTGACGAAGTGTTGGCTGCAGTTGACGGCGACTCGCTCAACCCGTACTACATCTACGGCGACGTGTGCCTGCTCAAGAATGGCCAGGCTAGCGCCCTTCAGAATTACAACATCCGCCCCAACACCCACCGTGGCGAGGTACGTTTCATTGCTTGGTTGTCGCCGCTGCCCAACCATCCGATCGATTCAGTCCTATAAGTTCACGCTTGCCCTGTCTGTGGTAGTTTGGCCCGTGCCAAGACCAGTTTGCCGCGGCGTACCTGCAATTGGATGTGGTCCAGAACGCTATTCACGTTGAAGGCGGTCACGTCGCATGGGTGGACTGCGCTGACCTCAACTACCACCGCACCCCGTCGTCGCTGCAAAAGTACCCGACCATCTTGCAAGCGGGGTTGAAAGCGCTCATCTACAGTGGAGACGCCGATTCAGTCGTCAACTTCATCGGGACCCAGCGGTGGCTTACGGCCGAAGGGCTCAAGCTCCAGGTCCAGGACAAGTGGAAGGCCTGGTTCGGCCCAGACAAGCAACTCGCTGGCTACACCGAAACGTACACCAACGTCACGTTTACAACGATCAAGGGGGCGGGCCACATGGTTCCTGCGACCCGCCCCTTGCATGGGCTGTACATGTTTGAGTGCTTTATCTATGGCCAAGCTGCATGCAACCAGTTTTCGTACCCCAAAGACGCG